TCCGGTCTAAATTTCGGTCTAGACTCCAGTTTCAAATCGGTCTACAAACCGATCCAGTTCGATTTTACCCTCAAACCAATAAAAATCAGACCGAAACTGAACTGGTTGAACCGTTAACATCCCTAGTAACTCCTTAGTCGATCATATGCTTGATTAGGAGAATTACTGGATATGACAACTTGGTAGCCACTCCAAGTTCTCTATTCAGGCGCTCTATCTTTGTTGTTAATAAAGGTCTGCTTATTCCGGAGGAGGAATGAGCTATGTACCTTCCTTTATTACTAAATAAAAAAGACAGCGTACTCTAACAATAACTTTCTTATAATAGGTTGAGACAGAACGTTCACGATATGCAGGTGACTTAGAAAACTACTGGCATAATATCATTCGGGAGTGCGAGAAGGTATGTTATTCAGATCTTGCCAGACTTGTGAAAGTTGAGAACTAAATAGCTTTTAATATCATTTATAGAGACGAGAACTTTTAGCGCATGAAGCTGAAGAGAACCGTATTCTTCTCGCCCTCTCCAAAGTAAACAATAAGATAAAAATAACGAAAACCGAGCTTGCAGAAATTACTAATGAATGGAAAAGAGGGAAAAGTCCAGATTTATTATTCGAAATCGATGCTGACGTTTTTGAGTTGGACCTTTCGTTATTACAGGAACAACAGCAACAACAATCGCATGCTAGTGGTTCAGATTTTAAAACTTCTCAACTTGAGGAGCAATCTAGGATTACAATAGAAGACCCTGAGGATGAGATTCGTTCTTCCGGTGCAGATGAAGACTTCGATAGGAAAATAGGTGATGAAGGAAGTCCTAGTACTGCTGTGGATAGTGACTTCGATGGAGAAATAGGTGAAGAGCCTAATGAAAAAGGAAACAATAATGTCTCTCCTGACACTATTGTGGGTCCCCAACAAAAAAATAAGAGAAAGAGGTCAACACCATCGTTAACCCAAACCCGCGAAGTTAATCTTTGAAATATGAAATGGGTTAACTATAACGTGGGATCCCCATCAAGGAAACGTCATAAAAAGCCCGTAAGTATTAAACTAAATTTGCTGTACCTGCTGATGGATCATGAAATTTAACTTTGTATTTATAGGTTCCGCAACCACCATCACAATCACCTCCACAATCTCCGTTATCACAAAGATCAACACCACCATCACCAGTACCTTCTTTACCACCTTGCTTAAAATGCCCTCGGCATTGTTTTTAATTTAATCTTTACTGTATATTATCTTCTGCTTATTTGCTATGCATTATCCTATTTTTATTATTCATAAATGTAAAATAAAGTTTCACCCGTATTGAGCTTTGAATTTTTTAATTATATACTGTATAATATGCAATGTGACAATTGTGGCTTGTACAGTATATCAGAAAAAAATAAACTGAGAGGAGTATTTGTATAATTAAAGTTTCGAGTTCATTCAATGAGACCCAATTCACGAAGATGCTCAGGAATAACTACATATGGGTCTTCGTAGTACCAAACATACCTTAAAACAATCCAATTCTCTTCGCACAATTCTTTCTTGAGTTGAT